CCAAGACAAGCCAGATGCGGATGTACGGTAAGTCGGGACAAGCCAGATCACCCAGATGCAGACGTACGTCGAGACAAGCCAGATGCGGACGTACGCCGGGCGTGTGCGCCAATAACGTTATTTTAGCTCTTTGTACGCCGCGTTGTACGCCAGTAGAAGGGCTTGGAGCCTCGTTTACGCCGGATTAATCCGCGGAAAACGGCACCATCCTGGGTATGGATTACAATTTTCGAGATCGAACAATATTCTTCAGATGATGCTGATTTATAAAATGCAGTTTCAATGGAGTAATTTAATTTATTAATGACTTTTCAAATGTTAGGCCAGTTAGGGTAAACGAGGTATATTCCGACACTTCAAGGACATAGCAAAAAATGAATGACTATAAAAAATACACTATATGCGCATTGCGCAACTCAAGTTCTGTTTGCTTTATGTCACTCTCAAAACACAGCACTACGCTCCAGCAACAATGAAACATCACAAAATGTTGCCATTTTTATTTAAAAGCCTTTAGAATGCAAACCTACCAAATCCATATATTTTAACACTGTGTGTGACTAAATTTGGCATTTTGTGAGACTAATTCCGGCCGCGCTTTAAACTCTACTACTAATTTGTAATGCTAACGCTCTTGTGTTTGAATTCTGATCGCTGTGTGAGCTGTATTGGAATATCACACAGCTTGGAATTAGAACACTATTGAATATTGAACACTGCTTTATTAGGCTTTTAATTAAGAGCTATTAGCTTTTAATTAAGAAAATTTTAATTTTTGCACACAGCTTGGAACGAGCTGTGCGTGTCTAATTCCAAGCTGTGTTGGAATTCGTTTTTATGTGTCTAAAACCGTCTATTAACTTAATCATCTATTAATTTTTTTACCACTTGAAATCAGCAAATTCAAGTAGTACCATACTTACAGGATTCCTAATATATTCACAGATGTATTTAAAAATCGCAAACCATAATATTCTTTCTACACAAACAGTTTATCGCTATTTGGTAGAGCAAGGTCAACTATCAACTTTGACACATTTTTTGATGTTCTCACTGGGTGACTTGCACTGTCTCTCATTGAATCTCAACATTTTCCTGCCAGACAGCCCAGACCTAGTGTTTTGGCAATAGTATGGCGCGCAAAAGTATGACATCACTATTTCAACCATCAATGAATGCATGGAGCAGAGAAAAAGCTTAATATAAAGGAAAAAAGTCGAGAAGTGTCGGAATTACCCACGATGTCAGAATATACTGCGTTTACCCTACAACATTTAGTTTCAAGTTATAGGAGGCATTGAAAATTTCTAAATCATGGATGGCAGTGCTTTAATGTAATAGATTACACATTTATACAAGACACAAAGAAAAATGAAGACCAAAAATATTATTTAGCAATTTATTGATCCTTTAATGATTTGTTCAAATTTTTACAGTAAGATAAAATTATGCTAACCTAATATATGTAAGTCATATATGGTAGTTAAGATGGGATTGATCAATTTATAAATCAATGATCAATGGTTTACCTTTGATTTATTTAATTTATATTCAAAGAGGAAATATTAACGCATGGTATCTATGCTGGTGTAATAAGCATTGTAAATTTTTTCATATTTGTTGACTGTAAAGTGAAATATAATTGAATATATGGTTATTTATAGAATGCCAACTACCTATAAGGCAGAGAAAAATTGCATGATTCCATTTACCCTTGATGCAAATAAAACCTCTTCATCGGTGCAGCTCAGGCACTTTTACCTATGTTTACAATTTGTAGGACATGAATAGCATTTGCAAAGATGCATGCATGTGGATGTTGACTTTGTGCACTGAACCAGTCAGACAAAAGCACTGAACCTGCCCTACACCTGCTCTCCCTTTAGCCACGTTTTATTCCCTCAATTTGTAATCAATAATTATGAAATTAAATCATTTTTACTTCATCTCCTTTTCAAATAAAAGGGTAAAATGGGTGCAAAGGGGCGAATTCAGCTTCGTAGCCACGTATTATTCTCTCAATTTGTACCCAATAATTATGAAATTGAATACATGGTTCCACATGCTTATTGCGCAGAGGCATTGATGTTTTTACAATTTTACCTCATCCCCCTTGCAAATAAAATGGGTGCAAATGAGCAAATTCAGTCCCATAGCCATGTTTTATTCCCTCAATTTGTAACCAATACTTAAAAAATTAATTGCACAAAATTAAATACATCATTGCATCCTGGTCCATCAAACATACCAGAAACCTCACTCTGTGCGCTTGCAGTCTTTCAGATTTTTAACTACTTTCTAAATAGTTGGCCAAAGACTGGCAAATATCTAAAATGCATTCCTTTCAATCCAAATGTGTCAGCAAGATATTCTGAAGATGTAAATTTTGCTGCTTATGCATCACCAAAGATCTTGCAATATTCACCCATTTTCTGTACCCTGGGCTTATTGTCCAATTGTCGGCTGGCTTCTGCTAAGCATGGAAAACGTCTACCTTTAGGGCTGCAACTTGAACTTTCCTGCCTTTCCAGAACCATGAGATTTCCACCAGATGAATTTCCCCCTACCTAATTGTTAACATAAGTGCACAATTGGGCTGTGAGATTCCAATTGTATTATAAAATCATCATGTTGGAGCTGCAATATTTCAGAAACGGGTAGAGAAATTCCAATCCTGGCTTCTGCCCAATTTTCTACCAGGCTGTAACTTAGAATCTTTTAGCTCCAGATATTGGTGTCTTTAGAAGACTTCCATTTGCAACCCCGACTGGAAAAAGTGGGATATCAAATGAACTAGTATATATGTCTGTTAACCAACTCTGCAGGATTTTTAGGCTGCTAAAAATTGCCACTAATTTAGCAGGAAGCTAGAAATAATTAATTTAATTCTAACTGAACTCAATTGCGCAATCTGGGTAATGAAATCAACTGAGGTACTACTCTCAACTGTTCCTACTGGGCCATGGTATGTAAAATGCATAGTTAAATTTTCAGCTTCTGAAATGGCTATCAAAGAAGTGATATTTATTGCCTAATTGGCTACCTAACTAGTAATCTGAGAGTAGGTATGAAAATTGAAGGATTAAAAAAGAAGGACATATACATCAGCAGAGATAGAAATATGTGGAGATTGCACTTGGCACAGGTCAAGAATGAGGCAGCAGGTTCCTTAAAATACTGTGCAAGGTGTCCTGACTAAGCTTCACCAACCTCTATAAATTTTCAAAATACATCCTTGGCATCCTAAATAATTGATATGTAAATTAGCATCCTAAATTAGGTATTGATATGTATGAGGGAACTTTGACTAGCTGTATAGACCTGACTGATCAAAGCAGAAGATGGTATTAATCAGCAATATATTCTTCAAAAGTAATGCACTTATATGTATATTCCCTAACAGGAATCCACAAGGCAATGTTAAGGCAAGGCATATGAACATAATTACCACATACATAATCCATAAATCACAAAATTTAAAGAGGCTCATTGAGCAAAAATTTGAAGTTAAAACACAGATGAAACTTTGGCTTGTTGGGGGGATCAGCAAGCCAGTAATGGTTGTGCAACTACCATAGAAAAATTTACCAAAATTTACTACCAAGCAATACATGCACACACTTTGGCTACAGAAATTTCTCACTTCAGTGCTCCTGCTACCCTCCCCACCCCATCAAGCTTACTTGTAGAACTGTGGAATGGCAGTGCTAGAGCCTACTACATGTGTACTACATTTATAGCATTACATCTCTTGGCAAGCACTTGAGCCAATATTTTCATTGAACACTATACTAATAGCTAAAGAGGTATCATGAGTATGTACCCGTAAGTTCAAACCTATAAAAATCAAAACATTATTTTTTCAAAATTAAGTATAAGGCCCTATGTAAGGAATATAGTTTATATATTATATAATTGTAGTGGCTAATATAGGCATACTGACTTCCATATATGTGTAAAATTATTATGCAGATTATGAAAGTTCAATGATTCTCCTGTGAAATGCAAACTTTTGGCGATAATATCATGAACTGTAATGATTAAATGTCTGCCAATGTGTCTAAGAACCACTATTAATTACAATTTAAGTTCATTTTAATGTAATTGTAGACAAGTACAACTTTTTTGCTGAAATTTTATATTTATTATCACTAAATCTCTTTATCTTTTTTTTTTATTTTTCTGTTGACAAATTAGGCCTAGTTTTTATGAATGTTGCAGATTTATATACTTGATGGAAAAATTTTTCAACTAAATTTCTAACTCAAATTGATTTCAGGAAAAAATGAGGAGAAACTCACAACGAGAAGCCAGAGAAAAGTTTCCTGACAGGCGACCAATAGATCCTGAACTGTTGAAGAAATACAATTATGGTCATGGCATGAGTGTAAGTTCATTTAACTATGTACTGAATATATCCTTTATTAAGATAAGTTTGCCTTAAGTGAGCTCAAGGAAATGTATGAATATGAAGATTGACAGAATTCAATATTCTTTGTCATTTCCTTGAAGTAAATTCTATTGTTCTCTCATCATTTTGATCTATCATAATGAATGAACATGGATGTTCCTTGGAGCTTATTAAATTATTTCTCTTTTATCTCAAACTATGCTCCTTGTTATTCATCAATTACAAGTTGTTCTTAAAGTATCTTCAAGCTAGATTTCAGTATCCTATTTTACTTCTTGGATAGCATTAGTAGGACTGAAAGCAACTTATTTATTGGTTATTCTAATGTACAAAATTAATGTAATCCCTCTTTTCTATCTTCAGAAATATCCAAATTTGGCCAGGGATAAATTTCGGGCCATTAAAATAAAGCAACGGGAGGTGCTTATACAACAGAGCCGAAAGGACACAGCACGTGCTGAAGTTCTGCTAACTGGTGAGTTCAATTTATATTATTGTTTGTTGCATTTGGATTCATCTAATTATAAATTGTATGCATTTACCCATGAACCTTTGTTGTTGCAGAAAAAATGTATGGTCTCTAGGACCTTTGATGAAATGTTAATTTCTCAGGGACTTGGTAATTTCTTCAGATAACTACTGAAGAGTTCATCTAATCTCAAAAGTAGCTTTCTGTTAGTCATTCTCTTTTTGTATAGAGCAATTCAGGTTCATTTGTATTAATTTTATTTTGTTTTTGCAGAACAGCCTGGCTGCATTGAAGTTGCTCCAGGTGCTTCCACCACAGAGGTCACTCAGAAAAATATACTGCAAGCTGCAGACATCACAACAAAGAAGAAAAGCTTCAGTCTACAGCTTGATAGCTTTGGTCCATATTGGTGAGTGTACCTGAAAAATTACAAGGACCATTAGATATTTATTCTTTTATTACCGTGATGGTGGAATTGAGAGTAGATGTTGAGTTCCCTTCTATTTCAACACTTGGATTGTCAACTTTTCATTTCCTATTCTTCATACAATAGTGATTTATTTCAAATTATTTAGTTACTTTGTTGCTTTAGCAATAGAAAGTTCTAAAGATTTGCAATTGGCATGACTAATTTTTTTTGTATGTTGTGTGTTGTGATATTGTTCATCCATTCCAGAGATGAAAATTTAATTCGATTTTCATTCAAAAGTAATTTTTATGCATCAGTCATTCAACCCATACTGAATGGATTGCAAATACAAAGATACCAACTTGAAATTAATTTTTTTTTATGTCGTTTTGTTGTTGAGAAATCTTTCAAAATTCTAATATGAAATCTTATGTCACACTCGCCTAAAAATCCCTCACATTTGGGAACCATGCTACAAATGATCAATACAATAATCTTGAACAGGTTCAAGGCACCTGATCATAACCATGGTTTCCAGTGAGACAAGCTGAGTAGTAAAAATTGCAATTCAGTCTGATTTAAATCCATTTATGTGAGCAGCTTCCAATACTTTCGTGATGGACGGCACCTGGCGCTGGCGGGGCAGCTGGGTCACCTCGCCACCTTCAATTGGCTCACCAAGAAGCTCACAATGGAACTGAACGCCATGGAATCGCTGCACGACGTCGTATGGCTGCAGGACACATCCGCCATTGCCGTCGCTCAGAAGAAGTGGATGAGCATCTATGACGACAGAGGCACTGAGCTTCACGTCGTCAAGAGATTCTATGATATTACCAAGCTAGATTATCTACCTTATCACTTCCTACTTACGGGATTGGTAAGATTTGTGCTCTCACAATAGTCCTCGTCTTGGCAAATTGCTTTGTTGATTGTGGTTTTTTAATTGGCTGTGATTTGTGCGCGGTACACCTTTTAAATCACTTTGAAAATATACATATTGTCCCATGTCACTGGCTCTCTGCACCTCAGTTCATGATATTGACCCAATCTGTTTGCAGCCTAGAAAGTAATATTCTATTATTATTATAATTATTATTTGAGGCTGATCCATAATGCCTTCAGAGCGGTCAGGGCAACCTCCACTACTTGGACGTCTCACTGGGCAAAGAAGTGATACTCATTCAGCCGAAGCAGCCACGTGCAGTAGCCATGGTGAACAGCCCCTTTAATGGCGTCATGGCCACCGCGCACTCTGGACTTGTCTGTATGTGGACGCCAAATTATAACGAACCGGTGGCCTCCATGCTGTGTCATAAGAGCAACATCTCGGCGCTCACATATGACCCTGCTGGCAGGTAATATACTGTTGTACGAGCCGTCTTGTATCATGGTAATTGTGAACGGGTGCGACAGAGCATACAGAATAATACTGGTCAGAAATTAATGATTGAAAATATTTTACGTCACTTACATTGTGTCATCAATCATATTGATCGGCTTGTTGTGCCTTCACAGTATATTTTCATTTCATTTTCATACTAGGGGCCCTACTGTTAAATATTGCTTGAGTAGACATAGCGCCTGATTCTTTGTCTGCAATTTTCGGGCAAAAACCGCCAGCAATTGGCTGGCAGAGTTACAAACTCGTAACTATTTTTGATCACGGCCCCGAACACCATCACAATTTTGCTCGGTTGTGTTCACTAAGATGACTGGTGTGTTAATGCAGGTACCTGCTGACTGCCGCCTACGACCGCAAGGTGAACATTTGGGACGCTCGAAACTTGGGTAGCCAACTGCAGTCTCTGTCGATGCCTCACTCCGTCGTCAGCTCCATGTCCGTCTCCCAGACCGGACTTGTGGCCCTCGCCTGTGGCCGCGACGTAAACGTCAGTCATGCATGAGCGAAAATCAGTTGATCATTTAGTAAAGTGCTCCTCGTCTCTCATTTTATATGATACTTTGGTGTCAAGCCTGGAATCTTGAGTTTGGTTTTGGTAACGTAAATAAATTTTTCTATTACTCGAATGTTAATACCTGATGTTGAAGCTTCAGTGTAACGTTAATAACTTGAATACTTCATGCAATTACTGAAGTGTGAAACTCACATTTTCATATTTTGGTGTAAAGCCCTGTATATTGCACGCTGCTGTAGAGCTTGGTGCATTTCTCCATCAACTTCGATAGAACGATGCTCGATTGAATCGTTAATGATTAACATTAGCTTATATCTCGATTAATTAAGAATGAAAATAATGAATCCCATGTTTGATGGCGCTGGTGCCTGCTAGTGATATACATGTAAGTCATGGGCAGATTTGCCTCTCCCCGTGATTGATCCTAGTTTTTTCTGTATCGCTCCCGGGAAGTTATTGCTCAGCTTTTTGTCTTACGTATCATATATCATTGACATCACTCATAGAGATCTAAATTATGCTGTATGTCACATTTTTGACAAACCAATTAAATTTTATTCTATTCCTCCCTCCTGTAGATATATAAAGGGCTGAAGGAAGGCAACTTAACTCCTTACCTGCATCATCCTCTGGAGACCAAAGTGCATCAAGTGCAGTTCTGCCCCTACGAGGACGTGCTGGGCGTCACCAGCAGATCGGGTTTCTCGAGCCTCATTGTGCCTGGTGCGTCTTGATGCTCACTCGCTTATGCTTTAGTGTTCAACGTGGTTCAGCCAACGATATCATTGCTTATTCTTCGCATTTGTTTTGTTTTCGTTAAGGAAAGTGTTCTATAAATAGACGAAACTCACTCTGAGTAAAACAAACTTGAGTGGATTATGAATTCTTCTGTACCTCAATAAACTACCAGTTGGTCACTAGTTAGTGTATATCAGGTGTTAGCGTGGAGAGATTTATTCTGACCATACACACATTTATTAAAATCATTAATTGTGTGATATGCAAGTTTGTTTTTTGTTGTTGATAAGCATATACATTCCTCGTTGAATCGGTATTATTTGCGTCAGTGACACCGACTTGATACATTATGTTTTGCTTGCCCAGGTGCTGGAGAGGCTAACTTTGACGCCTATGAAGCTAACCCCTTCAGTAACCGCACCACCAGGAGAGAAACTCTCGTCAAGAACCTCCTCGAGAAGATCCCTTACGAACACATCACTCTCGACCCTCGCACAGTTACTCAGGTAACTTTTCCTGCTAATCTACTATCTTCCAATTCCAAAGTCGAAGGATGTAATTTTTCAAGTAACATCTCGTTAAAACAGTTTCTAAAAACTTTGCTAAAATTGTTTCTCAATAATACCTCACTGAAACTAACTCCATTTAGTTAAATGGCTGCAACAAGTGGAAATTTCTATGTTGAAACTAATGAAATGAGAGGTCATGTTACCATTAGTCTTCGCTACTGTAATTTTATTCATGCTGCTGTTCTGTTGGGTAGTAGCTAGTTGCTAGCTAAATTTTACTTTAATTATTTTTTTCGTTATAGATTCTGATCATGTTCACGCTTTACCTCCTAAGACCCTGCATTTATGAAACTAACTAATTTAATTGTACATGTGAATTAATTCCCATAGGTTGACGTGCCAAGCTTGGAAGAGAAGATGGAGGAGAAACGTCGTCTGATTTATATGAAGGTTCCTAAGATTGATCCCAATCCGCGGTATCGGATGAAGGGTAAGAGCGGCTCGGCTCAGACTGCCAGACGGAAGTTGATCAAGCGCGAGGTCCACAAGAAGCGCTACATCGATAGGCTCAAAAGAGCCAGGGAGGGAGCTGGTATTGATGACGATAACGACGATGATGACACCAGCGCGGATACTTCCGATACCAAGCATGCTATTAAACGACCTACGAACATTATTGATGTTTTTAAGAAAAGAAAGTAATGAAATTTGATGTAGTTTCCATATTCCCCTTAATAAGCTGGGTAATTAATATCATTCGTAGTCGAAAATGAACTATTTTAATAAATGTACTGAGGATGTAATTGCCCATCTTGGAAGTAGCCAGTGGAAAGGGAGGGTTGAGTGATCAAGTCTTCCTGCCACTAAAGCCACTGTGATGGTATGGCCACAACCATACCACTGCTGGATTCACTGCCCCGTCGTAATAATTCTTGCGTTGAACAGCACCCAAAAAAGCAAAGTTCTTATTTATCAGAGTTAGATAAATGAATGTGTTAACCATGAGTTAAGCTCCACGGGAGAACTTGTCCTGAGTGAGATTTGAAGCCGGATCGAAAGGGTTTCTCACCACGGTAGCTCAACAGATGCATTCGCCCTCATCTGCTAGGTACTTGTCATACGCACGAGTGGCTGCAGCTTTAGTACATTTTGTAAAACGGATCGATTATTTTTTTTTGTAATTTCTACAATTCTGCTCATTCGTTATCGACACTAAAAACAGAATGTACATGGTGGCTTTACGATAAGTTTACCAACTTTTCAATATTATATTAAAGAGAGTAAATTGAATCAATTCAGCTTCATTTGAACAGGACAATGGTTTTCTTGCTTGAAACGCACGAGTGTAATCCTGTATAAATATTTTCTCTCTGCCAATGGTCGGAACTGGAATGATGCTCCTGCGGTACCGCGATGTTCACACTCCACTGCTGACTGCTCAGTTGCAAGTGTGTTGCCGTTGTGATTGGGATGCGAAAAGGGTAACTCGTGTGTCCGAAAAATCTTTCTTGTATACTTGTACTTGCTCAAAGACTGTCGAATCGATAGCTTTAATGATTTTTTTTTCAAACTGGACGTTTCATTTAATACAAAATCCTGTTCTTTTCGATTGCACCCAATGGCTCAGCAAAATTTGCTAATTGTACTCTCTGTAATGGATTATTACTTACCTGCCACCTGGTAATCTGCTGAGTGCTAACCGCTAAGCCTAATGACAGTGTGACAGTGTCGGTTCAACTCGGTTTAAATGCTGAACAAGCCTTGTGCAATTGTGCTTGCTTGAAATGCTGGTTGCTGCTGAAGGAGTGAAGTTCCTTTTCATGCATTTAATTTACACTCTTTAATCTCTTTGTTCTATTGGCATTCAATTAAAATATTTGTGATTTAGGCTATTATATTATTTTTAGCTCCCTTATCATTATGCTGATACTGAATCTCAAATACTTGTAGAATTGCTTGCACCTTGCAGAGTTGCAGTTGTAGCTAGGTACCTTATATTGAATTGAAGTAATGGATTAAATGGAAGTTATGGACTTATGGAACTTATGGAAGTTTTAGTCTCGGCTGTAGTTCACTATCACTAGGTGCCACTGTGCCAGTAGGTGGTATAGCCTGGTAGGTGCTATACTGCACAGCTAGTATGGAATATATCTACTTGGCGAGCCGCGACTGAATTTTTCGAGCCGTGGTTTTATGGATTTGCCAGCCGTGATTCCATTTCTATGAGCCGTGATTCCATTTCACCGAGCCGTGAGTTCCATATCTNTGAGCAGAGACGAGACCATAGGTTTAGGGAACTGTATTTGGTGGAATCTGGTATACAACTGAATTATTAGAAGGCTTGCTGGCCTTACATGACCTACTATTGACAGCATAGTAGTTCTACTCTAATTTGTTCAATACGTAAACACGTAACAATCTACCGGCAATAAAACAATGTTGACGATCTGATAGAGATGGTGAACAGCCAAGTGATCAATAATCCTATCCCTCACAATACATTTCATTAGCTTACAAACAACACTTGTCAGACTGATATAGCTCTAGTTGTGGCTCAAATTATAGATATATTCAATGCCTGCTGTCTACAGTGTCTTTTTTAGCAAACAAATTTGTTCGATGAAAAAAAAAACAAAAATATTTATTATTATGGCAGTTCTTGAAAATCACATATGAAAAAATCTTTCTCATCCATAACTTTTGGAAAATTTTGACCCATGTTCTAAACTGGCTTGGCAGTTGACACTTGACACTTGTGTACAATATTGGTTTTTCCTTTCCATTCCTTTGCCTGAGTAAAAAATCATACCTTGCAAGTAAAAAGGTTATGCTCTTTCTTGGAAAATGAAACACTAACAATATACAATTTTTTCACTTGCTGAATAGGAGTTCTCAAAATGCAAAGTAACACAGCCAAGCAAATGAAAAACTGACTTACGAAATGTGGTCATGTATGTATGTGATTAAGTACTTCATAGTTCCTGTCCAAACACAAATGACCTAAATTTAGCAGTAAGTCATATCATTGTTAGGATAAGCAAAAAAAATTTTGCTTAAAGTTTGAAAAAGTCTGCTTCAACAAAGGCTCACTCTCTCTGAAACAAAATTAGTTGCTTGGCATTGCCCATTTTGTAGTCTCATTTTGATTTGCATTCATTTTTTCATATGTGGCAGCCAGCATATGTAAGTGAACATGAATTTGCAATATTTGGCAGAACTTTCTGAAAATTGCAGGTAAAAACAATCATTTCAAGCACGAATTTTGTAAATTGTGGCTTAGGATGTGCTGATATCCTTCATTAAAAAAAATTTAAGCAAATGCCATAGTAATGGGCAAAATTTTCCCCAAGTATGAGTGTTTTTTTTTCATTCATCAGCCGCTTCTATAATTATCTACAAATTGTTATAAACACTGCAAAAAATGAGTAAAAGTAGTTAAAATTTAGCCAAAATATTTCATTGTACTTGCAAGATATGTGATTGGAGTTTGGTAATTAATTTATTTTTAACATTTCCACAAGGCAGTTGTTATGTGCATAGCCCTGAAACTATGTAAATTATTCCATTCAAATCCCAAGGATAATTAAAACCTTCTTGAACCTGACTGTTCAATTCCCTGTGTTTGATATTGTTCTTATAAATTTATTCATTACTAAGGAGCATAAGTATGGTTGAATTTTTATGCCAAGGCAGATAGAAATTGTTTTCAAAACTTCTAAATGTGAATCAACAGTACTAGCTCCCAAGATTCACATTTTAATTTTCATTTGAGTTGACAAAAGCAGATTAATGTTTTTAGTTAATGTATAAATACAGACTATGATTTCTGATTGATATATTTTCATAGAGCATTTTACATTAAAAATGTATATACTAGTTGCACTAGTTTCACTTACCAACTGATTCAATATTTTTCAGCAATTCCATTGGTTTATTTACAGGGGTTTTAAATTTGGGTTCAGAAATTTATTTTTTTGTGACAGATTCATGGCGCTTCATTAAAATTTACAAAAAATTGTACTGTTTCACTTTTTGAGCTATAATTTGGTACAAGCAGTGATATTTGTTATCCAGATCATTCAAAGTGCAGTGTTTTTAATTTGAACTGAAGTGATATTAAGACTTGAGAGAGCAGTGAGACAAGAGGCAGCATGGGTGCGTGGTACAGTGGTCGCACCTGTCGCCTGGTGGGGGTGTTCGTGATGACGGCTCTGTTCTTCTTCGTCGAGCTCATCGTGGGCTACATCACCAACTCCATGGCCCTTGTTGCTGACAGCTTCCACATGCTCAGCGATGTCCTGGCCCTCATCATAGCCTTCCTCAGCGTCAGAGTCAGCAGAGTCAGTATCTCCTTCATTATTTCCTTTAATATTAATTATTTTATATGTTACTATATATTTCTATTATTACTGATGTTATTTCTTGTAAATTAACTAGGTATCCAGCATGAATGCCTTTCCATCACGCCCACGTGCTTAGCAGTGATGTCTTGGCCTCAATAAAGCTAGCCTGATTATTGTATTCATATCGTTAATTATTTTCATTTAATGGAAACTAGTTTCTAAGTTTCCTCCATATTTTGAAACTACCCACAGCCTCACCAACCTCTCACGGTTCCAAATTTTATTGTATCAGATTTACGTCTGTCATGTACTTACTTCCGCAAAAATTTCAGTATTCAATGCTTCCTATGGCTTGAAAACGAATGTTGTTACATTCGAAACGTCGTTAGTAGATTACAATTACTTCCTTTAGCCTGTATTTTGATCAACCAGCGTCATCTGAAAAATATTGTTTGACCCTGAAAATTTAAATCAATGCATTCTCTGGCCATTAACCACCCGCGTTTTAATAGTACATATTGTGCACGAATGCTTCAAATCATACTTTTTAGTCGTATATTAATGCTGACCAGCATATCTTTTAAAATATAAATTTATTTTTGTCTTACGTGAATGTTATTTTAAAGATTATTATCATTAAAGATTGCTACTATAGAAATTATTCGCGTTACGTCTTGTTTATCAGTGCCTCCTGTCCAACATAGAGCCGCTTATCTTTCTTCTTATCTACGAGTCAGGGACAGGTCTAGAAACTCCTGTCCTTGCAACCATTTCACATTTTATCGCAGAACTACACGAATCGTTTAAATATTAAATTTACACACAAATATTTTTTACCATGGGAAAAGTACAATAAAATAAGGCAAAATTGAAACAAAACTTATGCCGAAGTTGGATATTGCGACTAATTATGTAATGTAGGCCTACACGTGACTGTGTGCTTATGTGTTGTATGACTAAAATTATGTGTATATGTTTTCGACTTATTTTCAGTCGGGCTAAAAAATTGGCAGTTATTATGTTTGGTCACTTCTTACATTGTCTGCACCCCTTACAGTTTATACCTCATGCAGCAGATAATTCCTCTAGCAAGCAGATCGCACCTTGCCTGCAGCAGATCATTCCTCTAGCAAGCAGATCGCTCCTTGCCTGTAGCAGATCATTCCTCTAGCAAGCAGATCGCTCCTTGCCTGTAGCAGATCATTCCTCTAGCAAGCAGTGTTTTCTGTGCAACAAAGAGTGTCCAGGAGCGTTCTCTTCCCAAGCACTTACTAATTAAGAATGTCAAAACTTTCATAGCCACATGCTCACATTTCCCTATCCACATCTTCCCACGATTTGATCGTATTTCTACCATTCCTACATCTGATCGCGCCGGACTGCTATATTAAACATTTTACATCAGAAAATGCACAGTTTCGATCTTGCCATTCCTCTCAGCCATCATTGAGTTATAACGGCGCAGTCGTATACTGACTGCGTTATAACGTTAAAAAAATATAACTCAGCACTCACAGCAGTGAGTGACAGAGAGCGCGTTTTCTCGTCGACGAAAACTTGAGGTCACGGACGGACGGACGGACGGACGGACAGACAGACATACGGACATGGCGAGCACAATAGTGCATTTTTTTCATAAATGAGGAAATGCGCTAAGAAAGCGGTCGTGCTGAACGCTGTTCCCTCCTATTGAAAGCTACAATTGTTCCGATAATGAATTCATCCTAAGATCACATAACGGTGGTGCATTCAAGTACATCGCTTAAAGAAACCCTTACACGTTCTACAACATTTGGCATTGAATAGAAACCTTCCTTGTTATAAGCACATCGCTGCACATGCATTCACACAGCCCGATGTAAACAGTCCCGAGGTTCTCTCTGACCGGAAGGTGTTGTTGAAGTTTTCTTAGAAAACAGGCATTGTTGAGTTGTTTTAGCAGGCTTCCGTTAACGTCCTTGAGCTCGGTATTGTCCAGCGAGCTTTCCGCGTGCCGCTTTCCTGAGATACGTTGTTTTTATGGAGTGTGATTTGCTACGATGCTTGCAACAGCACTGCTGGTACAGGCAGTTTCACTGCACCTCTTCTACCTCGCCTCTATAACACCGGTGGATAGTTGCCTGGTCTGTCATGTATTTTATTATAATGTTAGTGTATTTTGGCAAAATTTGTTCATTTAAGCAGGTTTCATTGAAGACCAGAGAATTAGTTTTATTGACAATTTACTTATTAGTTCTTTTAATAGATTCGATTTATTGAAGAAAATAATAAGAAAATTTATTATAATGCTGCAGGTCTGCGTTTTTCTAGTGAACTCGTGGCTTGTGCGTTCACTTCTTCGCGCCGTAGTCAAAATAATTTATGTGTTGAATTGTCCGAGGAAATGAACGCTTGAGCTTCTTCAATATTGTGGAGTCGCTATCTGAGATTCCTTTACTCCCATGATTTATACCGAGCTGAAGCCAGAGTGAAAATGTCATCGTATGATTAGGACTTAACTTTAGAATTTGTTGTTGTTCTATAGTAATAATATTGTAGGTAATAGTATTTAAATTATCAATGTGCAAGTGTCTTCTTAAGTCGCTGTGTTTCTTGAGCGGAAGAAATTTACAGAGGAGTGCGTGTGGAATGCAACTCCTGGAAATAAAGCAGTTGTTGGTGTTGTCCAGTCAGCTGACCACGTAACCAGACATGACGCAGACACGTCCTGGAAATTGGCGCCGGTTTCTGCTTTTTCTGCTTCGGGAATGTCGCGTTTTATTCTTGGCTTGTCAGCGCATGGCCGCATGCTAATTGTGCTGGCATGAAGTATAGTATATACTATAGCATCACGCGCACAGATGTCTCGATAAGTTAAAGGGGGAGCTTCAGCATCATCATATCTGTGTCATTGTTCCTTGCATGATCATTGTTATCACTGTGATCTTTGCTCTCATCATATCACCGTCATCATTGCGCTCAGCGTCATATTTCCCTTCAACATCATCACTGCATATGACCGTCATCGTACCGTTGTTTAGAACTGAACACAGCATGTTGCTCGAATGAACGCAAAATACTAAGGTTAGGCTAATAACCGTACCACCAAAACTGTCAGAAGCACAAGAAGTATACGGCCAGTTTCATCATTGGCATTTATCCAATCATGAAGAACAACTTAATCGAAAAAAAGAAGCGTTTAGTTCACACCTTATTACACTCTAGGATTACAAAGTTACACTTCATTACCGGGGTGTATTAGTTTGAGAGTCTATTGTATAAAAATGTCCTCTTATTCGTGGATGTAGTGATTTAACTTGTACGTATAACCGAGTGTTTGACGCAGTCCAAGTATTTGACAGTCGAGTGAAAAAGCTGCCGTGTTAATGCATTTAATTGTTTGTTTTAATCTGGTCTTTGACTTGAAGACAGCCATGTGTGGTGTTAGTGTCTTGGTGGAAACCTATAGCTGTGTTTCCAAGAATAATTGAAAACTTACGAGGACATTCACGAGTTGACCAGGAATATATTTTCCTGGAAAACCTCATTGATGGCTGGCAAAGTTAGTTTTGAACGTTAGTTACTGAGCGTCTGAGTCGCTTTCTTCCAAAATGGGAGCGACGCGAGGCCGTTAAAGGGACTCGAGCTCCCGGTACACATGAACAGTTCAAGCATACGAGCTAAACTGGCGCCATGAAGTCGACTGCTACACGCAATGTTCCGAATGAAAACATTTTCAATGAAGATATGATGAATTTACTTTGCGTTTTCTTTGCTTTCTAATTAATAGTGAACATGCGATTTAAGCAAGCGGATGATATATAAGTACGCACTATTCTCGCCTCAACATGCATCTTTGATTTTTTAACACGCGTAGTCTCTGATCCCAATAAAAAACTTTCAGTGGGATTTAAAGACTTCGCCACCCATGCACGTGACTGTTCCTGCAGATTTTCATAGTATAAATTGATTAATGGACTGTGGTTAAATTGACTAATGCTCAACGGGTAAATATATTCATGTGCAAGGATAAATCATGCGTGACGACCTTCACTCATTGCCTTAGCCTCCGTCGATCAACGCTTGGCTTGGGTTTAAGAGAATTGCTTGAAAACTGTGGGCACTGAGTCACTTATCCAGCGGGCCACTCATCATGTGAGTTACTCATCCAGTGAGTCAAGTTCAGCTGTTGGTGCAGGTGACCAGCCGTCTTCTGCCTCTAACTGGAACCTGTGTAACAAATTGCTTATCTGCCTCCAATGTAAAGAACACCGCTACGTCACTACGAGTTCCTGCGCTTCCATGAACGCCGCAACGTCACTCAGCGTCGATTCAGGGTTCCCAGAACGTCGTAGCGTCATCGCGTCTTGCGTTCCTCATCTGGCGCACCTTCGTCGCCGCGACCATCAGACGCTGCCTTGCTTCCATCAAGTTATCAACTTATCAGATTACGTACTTGCCATGATGGAGATCTATTGCATTAAAGCATTCCTCTTGTGTCGTGCTCGAGTGTTTTTTCACTGACCTTTTTTAAAGTGCAGAACTTTTTTTGCACTTTAAATATTTTTTTTCCGTTGCCTTCGTAGCATGAACCTCGTCGAATCTTCTTTATATGTACATACTACCTTTTTCTTTTGTTTACCGTTCAGCTTTAGAACCACTGACAGCAGAATATTTTTACGTTATTTTATCTTCTTTATTCATGCTCCCTGTAGCGTTTATCTTTATCCTCCAATTTCATTGTTCTCAGTTGCATCCTGCAGTTAGGCATTTAATAATTCGCAGTCGATCGTGCAGTTGTTTGTTGGCAACTGCTAACGTCATACTCAGCCTTACGAGGCAGCGATTTCAATAGTCTCCCCGCGCTCGCTGTGCGCAGCCAAAGCCACATACACATACAATATCTCGCGTTTCAGAACAAGCGTGGCTGATCTGAAAGAATTCTTTCTCGAAAGCCAGCAGTCGCCCAAGCTTCATTCTTCCTAGGCAACCTCTTGGTTCTAACGAACGTTTTTTTA